ATGTCAACATGGGCGACAGCTTGTGTGTATTAGTGGGTCTATGAGCACGGGTTATTGCAGACACAGGCACGCATACACCCCTGTGAATGTGTGTGCACACGTCCCTGCAACAAGAAATCGATAAACCCTGGGGTTAATAGTGAGGAGGAACTGGCTCACCAGCTCTACTAACAAACATCTGACTGTTAGCATAACCTTAGTCCACCCTTCTCCCCATGGAAATCCACTGGCATTGATTATAAGCCTTGCGGTGCAGTTCAGTCTCACTAGCTTATCGCTGACTGTATGAAGCCCACTATCCCTTCTGTCACTCCAATACAGGCTATTTAGGAGTTAACCCTCAAAAGATCTGAATAAAGCAAGGACAGAGGGACAAAGACAGAGCAAGGATTAGACTGAAATCCAATTTAAAGTCAGTCTTTCCGGCAGCAGGGTGGCATTGTGAGCTAAGCAATTGTCCTTCAGTTTGGAGGACCCGGTTTTAAACCCCCGTGGTGGCTCATTACTGTGGTGTTTTTTCACTAGGCTTGTCAGAGATCACTTGTCAGTCAAACAGTAAAGGTGGTGTTGTGATTTATGTTTCCTTTGACTTAACTGTTTAAAAGTTTGAGTTCCAACACAAAACCACCTCCAAACAAAGACCAGATTGCAGCTATTTGTGAACTTGATGTAGATTGAATCACTGGTGTGTTGTATATGTCACTTATAAAGTAGCAACAGTTTGTAAAACTGTACAAGCTGACACATACACAGCCTTATCATCATGTTGCCTTAAAATTGTTATGGTTCATGCTAGCAAACAGCAGTCCAATTACATGAAATTAAGCAACTTTAGCATTCATTTGGAGTCATGTTTCTGTCCACTTGTTAGGGGCCGAGCCAGCAACCGCTGGAGGTCCCTATTGTATTTGCTATGTTTCTTCTTCTTCTTACATATTATTATTTTTAGCCCCCTTTGACTGCATTTTTGCCCCCCTGAACAAATACGAAAAGTCAATTTTATTTGGCAAAGTTGTCAGGCCTGGTGAAAATGGGGATCTTCTATGCGTCGCTTTCGGGTCGGCCACTAGGTGGCGCTACTATCATTAAAAATGCATTTAGGCTAATAACTTCTGCATAGTTTGTCGCACATTCAAAAACCTTGTATCCACGCTTTCGGTGAATAGAGCTGAATCTCCACATATAGGCCCCACCCACTTCCGCCTAGAATTTTTCTCCGCTAGAGCGCGATATGTCCATAAACTACTTTTACGTGTTCCTCCCATGTGCTTTGTCCAATTCGCACAAAATTCTTCACGTAGCGTCTGAGGACCCTCATAATAAAAAAGGGATTAACAGAATTTTCATATTTCAAAAAACCAGCCCGTTATAAAATTAGCACTTCCTGTGGACCATTTCTCCACATTGGTATGTCTGATTGACACCGAACTTGGGTCTGTAGTTCCACATGTCTTCCTGAAGCATTGTGCACAATTTCAGGCCATTGCCACAAGGTGGCGCTCTTTAAAATGAAGAAGTTTATATCTCTACAACAGTATGTGTGATTAAGATGAAACTTGGTACAATGCTTCCCCATGGCTCCCTGAGGCTCACTAAAAAATGTGTCAACAATCTGCCACTAGGTGGCGCTCTGGTGGCATGGTAAATCACTGTGCGGAGACCGTAATAGTTATGAATATGAAATTCACAGGGCACGTGTAGAGTGGTGTCTGAAGCACACATACAAAAAAATCGTGTTTGTCGTGTTTGTAGTGCCCCCTACAGGATAAAAAAAAAGCTGCCCCGGTGCCACGTTTCACTGATATGTACGAAACTCAGTAGGCACGTGTAACATGTCGGGACGTACAAAAAAGCCTCTTGGACCCATACGTCCTCTTAACTTCAGCGTACGTGGTCCAATCTCAATGAAACTTAACATATTTGATAACACTCTCACCTTGAACATGTCTACATGACAACATTCAGACATAGTGATAGCGCCACCTACTGGCAACAGGAAGTAAGCGCTGCGTGGCCATTTTGAGCTAATTTACGTGAGATTTTCATGTTGTAGTCCACACGTGTTACGACGGCACGCGACGCGGTCGCAGCACTCCCCGAGTTGCGTGGAGTGCGAGGTCCAGCCAACGCTGCTTGCAGCTTTAATTGAATTTAAGTTCAATATTCACTCTCTTTTTAACTGTTTGGTTCTCCACCACCTCATGAGAAAAAAGAAGGATCTTAAGCTAATGCTGCTGGGAAGCCAGCATACTGTGAAATGTGCCATGAAACCAAGACAAGCTAAAAAAGGCTTAAAAACTCTGTAGAGTCCCAAATTCTCTGTTGGTTTGTCCCTTTGAGCAACCACTTATACATTACATGTCATTTAAAGCGAAAGGTTTGTCTTTCAAGATGCACACTTCACGTCTTTCCCATAGGTTCATTAATTAATATGTGTTGAACAACAGCTATTTTAACCCTTCTTTCAGTCTTCATGCTAAGCTAAGCTCATAGCGTGCTTTCTGTAGCTTCATATTTAGCGTACAAACACAAGAGTGGTTTCAACTCGCTCTTGGCAATAAGGAGAAAAAGCATATTTACCACAATGTCGGACTCAAACCCAGCAAAGACTAGTTAGCAACAGACCTTTAGAAGAATATAGCATTAGTAGAATGAGCACGACAAAGTGCAATATTAACCATGGCATAGGCTACAATCAGCAGTTCAGTGCAACATTGTGAAAATAAATCTGGAGAGTAGTAACTGGGTGATGGATAGGCTACATACAGTGGACCCCACAGGTTCCCAATCAGTTCCTTTGGGTGTGAAGTTGGCGAGCAGAGACTGTGGGCGTGCGGGGGTTCAGTTGAAGGAGGCCTGATTGAGTACAGTGACAGAGAGGACTGACGTAACATGTAATTAGCATTTGCTTTTCTTGAGGCAATTAAGAAATTTAGTTCAGAAGTGGTATAAAGACTACAAAGCCAGGACTTTTGCTAGTTGAAAGAGAATATCAGGATTTTTTTAAGAGTTAGGCCTATTGAACATCAACCGCTGTCAGTCTCTGTGATTATTGTTTTATTGTTTAACTTTTAACTTCTTTTCATAATTTTGCAACAAAGTCCTTGGCTCAAAATTAAGTTTTTCCTCAGCTAGCAAAGATTTCTTGCATTAAAAATGCCAATGAAGACTGGAAAGTAGAGCCTTTCTGTTTCTTCCCGTGGGTGTCAGATAATTAGAAAACAGTGTAATTTAATACAGCACTGACATGAAAACAGTTTGAGGAAATCATAATCTAGTAGAGACTTTGAGCAAAATAAATGTAATTATTTTACTACAGAACAAGCTCATGAGAGTGACTTTAGAAAAGAATGTAGTTGTGCCATTAAAGTTTTCCTCCTTTTTCATTGCAAAAACCAAGCTTTTTCGAAATTAAACAACAACAATCTCATATTAAATTTAAGTAAAATCCTCAACTAACCTTTGTGTTTTTGAACAACCTCCCCTACTATTGTTTTTTTTTTTTTTTTTTTTTTCTGCTAGCCATGATAGCCTTGTCTCTGTGTGGTAATCCATGTTTCAATGTGCATATATTCATTTTGCTCCCTCAACTCTGAAGAATAAAAAGAAGAAGAAAACAAACAAGTGTTATATAAAAACAGGCTTATCTTGGTCTGCCAGCTTAGTTCACTGTAAGCCTCCAAGCATGGAGAATAAGAAGGGAGGAGTGGATCGCCAAGGATTCTCTCCTGCTCGCTCTCTCTCTCTGCTGCTTGCAGCGTCCGCCGTGGCCTCGCTGACAGCTGGAATAAAGTCTTAACGCACGAGGCCACAGTTACACTTGTCATTCCAACGTGATTTCTGGAGATTTGGCCGTAAACATTTGATGTTGTGTTGATGTGTGTCCGCGCTCGGCCTGTCAGTGTGTGATACGCATCCCCCGTTGAAGGTTTTCTTTTGATCTGTGTTTCCACTCTTCCTGTATTTTACTTGCCAACAGTTCTGCCTGAGTATATTGTATCTAATCTGTGATGAATTCAGGTCATAGTAGCTGGGTTTCCCTCAGTGTATTTTTATTCTAATTATAATGCAGAATTTAGAAGTTATGAATGAAAATTGCAATGTTCGGTAGAATTTTCAGTGTTTTCAGTAAGTTTGCATCAACGTTTTTCAATTTCTTTTAAAAATATTCTTGTTAATTAAAGCATAATGAATTAAGAAGCCCAGCACATGGATGTTTTCTGATGCAGCTTCATGCTGTATTGAGTTATTTGAGTAGTAAATTGTACAAAACTATACAACTATAGCTAAAAATGTGAGAGCAATGAAAGGGGAATTGAATGGCAATGTTGCCCTTTGTTTGTGTATTTAAGAATCCTAATGGCAAAATGTAATTATTTTCAATATTTCCAGATGCCATGAAAGCTGACTGTAGAGTTGTGGTTCTGGACACTTGATATATTTATTATAAATTTGTGCTGAGTTAAGAAGAGTAAAAAATGAGAATAAGATCAGATAACTATAAAATGAGAAAGGATAGGATCCTTTTTTGAAATAAAATGTAAACATAAACAGGGGAAACATGGGATCTGTATCATGATTGGCATAGTATTATTATATCATTTTTTCCAATATTATCACCAAGAAACATACTTAAAGGGATATTTATAAAATAAACTTGTCAGTGCTCTCAGACACATTTGGTAACCCTGTTTCTAAATTACCTGAGACCTGGCGTTTACACCAATACGCACTTGTCCGCAATAAAATCAGCCTGGACGATTTATCGCTACCTGTAGTTTCTTTGAAAATAAAAACAGGGTGAGCAGCAGTGAGCCTGAGCAGCAATACACCGTAGATGCAATGGCTTACCACACAAAGAAAAAAGGAAGTGGAAAAGAAAATTGTAGGAAAACATTTGAAAAAAGGATTACATTTAAAATGATTTTTCGGTGATTATTGCTTTAAACATTACAACATTAACCCCTTCTTACTTCCTCTCACATTCTCACCCGCTCCAGGTGCCTCTCATGTGTTAATGGAAACTTCCCCTGTCACTGGTGCAAATATCGCCACATGTGCACGCAGGACGCCAGCGACTGCTCCTTCCAGGAGGGACGAGTCAACACCTCAGAGGTGAGGGTTTGAGCACACACACACACACACACACACACAAAACATGCAAAAGCACACGCAAACATCTGTGAGCATATGTAGTCAAACATGCCCTCACAAACACCCACACACAAAGAAACACAGCTTCACAAACACAGACATACAAAGCAACACATTAATACATTTACGAGTATCAGTGCACGTGCACACACTCACACACAAGTATGTATAGTGGCATAGTAATGCCAGGGGTGCAGCTGGGACCTGTACACCAGTTGAGTGTGTGTATGCGCGTGTATGAATGAATGGTGCTCTGAGTGGCCCAGCAGCAGCTGTTGTACTCCAAGCAGCGCTGGATTTATTCACTTATAAACAAGTCGGGGTGAATGAGTATGCAAATGGCAGCGCGCGCTACCGTCCCAAATGTTATATTTGCATGAAAACCCTCATCTATCCATGAGCTGTCTCGCTTTCACAGTCCCTCTGTCTCCATCTAAGCCTCTGATTCTGACCGTCTCTCGCACAAACGCAGAAATTCACACTGAGAAACACACATAAACTTCCAACCACCTTTACTTCAGCCCTGTCTCTGTTTCAGGCAGTTTGAAATCACTTTATGTGTTTTTCTCTCATTTCTCTCTCCTTTTTTCCTTTCTGTCCTCTGACAGCACAGAAAAATCTTATTTCATCCTATATCAGATTAACATATTATATGTTGAACCCAAATGCAAGCTGTCCCTCTTTTGTTCCTCTCACCCATTCTCTTGTTGTCTGTACTTTCCTTTCCTTTTTCTCATTCTTTCACTCTCTCCTGAGATGTTGAAACTATTTAATCAGAACAAACATAAAACATAGAGTACTCAGTGTGGGTGGGCATGAAGGTGGTCTGTTTATGTGCATGCACGTTTACATGTGGGCATCTATTTGTTTTGTTTGAGGATTGTCCCGTGTGTATGTCTACTCTCATGTGTCTACTGTATATTTTATGTTATGTATGTGTGATCATTATCTTCACTTAAGACATCGTGTGTGTCCATGTGTATGGGTGTCTATCAAATATGCAGCGGGAGTGAGGTATGTGTGTGTTATAATGTCCATGAAAGTGTACAAATGGAACACCTATTTCGGGGCATTCGAGTGTAAGTGTGTGCTTGGGGGGGTCGAGAGTGAGAAAGAGGGAGGAAGGGGAGGATAACACTTGACTCCACACACCCTGTCATCACATGTTACACCCTCCTGTAAACACACCAGGCTGACATTCATCCTCATCTTGTTTGGAGAGTCACACCAATTCAGCCTTTTTTCTTCTTCTTCTTCTTCTTCTTCTGATGCACCCTGTCTTTTTGGTGCAGGCGTTGCTATGGTTACCGAGAACACTTTGAATGTCAGGGGGGTTTTGCTGAATTTTGATAGACGCACGCACACACACACACACACACACACACAAGTGCTATCACCACATCCTTACACGGATTATTGTTATTAACACAGCAGAGAGTGAAGACACAGCTCTGGGCTTTTGCGGCGGATGCATGTGTTTTCATGTGTCTCTATGTACGCCCTCCGTCACTGAATAGAAAACATTTTGAAGCATTGCATATGCGCACTTGAGCCAACAGCGGTAGTTTTGTCGTCACACATTTATCTCCTCTAGCCTTGATTTTGTTCCAATTTGCCAGTTCGTAGCCCCTGCTGAAAGCAATATTGCCCATCTCCGCTGCCTGAAAAAGTTTCCCCCTGTGTCATTAGCAGTAGGTTGCCAAAGTGATTGAATTCACACTACACTGGTTATCTTCCCTAAGGCATTTGTCATATTTCTTGAGGCTGACTTCACTTCATATCTGATCAAATTCATAGCATCTGTGAATCTGTGCCACAGGTACATCCCAAAAATCCACTTTTTCCTCTGCAAACAGATAACCACTAATGTATATTTTTTTGCCCTCTTAAGGTAAACATAATTCTCTCCTGTCACTTCCTGGATATGTAAATATATATAAATCAGCTGTGTTGTGACAGCAGATAAACAGAGAGGCATATTAGGGGCGACCAGGCAGAAAATTGCCAGAGTATGAGAAACACTTGAGAAGGCCATGAACAGAAATGTGTACAAACACAAACAATGAGTGAAACAAACACCAGGACAAACAAATGCAGAGACAAACAAATTTGCTCCGCTCCAATGAATCCCAGCATCGGGCCGGTAGAGCCGACCGGGCCGGCGCTGGGCCTGGGGGTTGGTTCAGATGACTTCAAATAGGAAAGGGTAAGACAATCATAAAAACCAACAGAAAAAGTAATAGAAAAACAGGTTGTTTGCATTTGTTTTCCTGTCTACAAGCTTCCCTGCTTATTCATTTATTGATTGCAATTCGCTCGCTTGTTAATTGAGCTGTTCATTCATTTTGCATGGGGTTGCTTTTTACTCAGGATATTTCATGTCCCACAGATGAATTAATGCGGTACTTGATTGACAGCAGAAACACAACATGGCTGCCAAGTAACGGCCCCAGATGAGAGCTTTGAAAGGAAGTGACTTATTTGTCTTTTTAGTGTGCGTGTAAAACACTACAACTCTATACAGCAACAGTTTCATCATTTGTCATGACCTGAGCTTCTGGTTATTGATGATATCCTAATATTGCTTTCCTACATTGCTAAAAGTATCACATACCGATGCTGCCAAAAACTGATAAATGAAGGGCATTATAGCCCAGTAAATTACTTGAACAGTAGTTACAAGGTGTTTTTTGTTATTACTTCTAATCGTTTCAAAAGTTTTATTTCTAACTTTGGACTTTGTACAAGAAGAACTTGCGGGTAGTACCACCATCTAAAGCTCATTAGGGCTGAAGCTTATGATTATTTTTATAACCTGTCAGTCCTTTTCTTGATGAATTGATTAGTTCTGGGGCTCCCCAACAATTCCTAGCCAAGGGCCCCCCAACTAGCATTAGTGTTTGACTGGGGCCCCAGCTCTTGCAAGATGTCTTCAAAAACCTGTTGACAATACTGCGGCAAACATTACATTTGTATTTAAAATCTTATAATTATTATAATCATTACATTGGGTTCAATTAGGTGTCCAAAAACATGTCAATTTTTGTGAGTTAGCTACTAGAACACTGACTGTGTGGGCATGGCAAATAAGATTGATATGTTATATTATTATACATTCTATTTTATTATAATACATATAATAAGAGGGGAATAAGGATTAGTGATATGATTTGATTGTTTTGGATAGTTGGTGATTCATTTAATAGTTGCTAAAAGTTGAATAGCTCTGAAGCTCAGTCATACAGTAAATGTGTGTGCTTTAGAACTGTGTAGTCAAAGCATAAGGCTGCATGAAAGAGCCCGCTCATTCATTTGAGTGACTACTGAGTTTGCACAGTGGAGGTGCTGATGCTGAGGGCTCTGGCAAACACAACACAGCGTTATCTGATGCAGTTTGTGCCTCAATACAGTGCAGTTTTATTCAGCAACCCACACACTGGTCAAATTTCTACAAGCACACAGATTACTTTGTAACACAAATGTCATATTTTTACTGTTTACCCAACCCCATCACCCCAGATTATGTTCCGTGATGTTTTTTTTAAGTCTGATGCCAATGTTTTATAATTATTTCCACAGTAGATATATGCCTGGCAATGGTAGCATGTGGTTAGTGTCAGAGTCAGGGTTAGGGACACAAACTTCAGTCCCTTGACATGCTCCAGGCCCATTCACACACTGATACAGTACAGAATACTACTTACAGCACAGGCACTCCATTACTTTGTTCCTTTTGTCCCAGTATAAAAGGCTGTTGAGGTATTCGATAGTGTTGGTTTTAGACCACTTGTTTTTTCTATTTAATTATTTGTGTTTTAGGAAAGTGTAGATTGTAGTGGATATTTGTTTCGGTCTGATGTATTCATTAAGACACTGCCTGAGTGAAGTCATCTGAATCTGTCCACAGAAGCGCTCATTACGAGCCAGCGCTTGTTCTGCATCAGCCGTTCTGAAACAGTTTATTTAACTATCGAGGCACTGACCTTTTCAATATGTGAAACTGCAACTCCCCAGCTCTGACTGTTGCCAGTGTTATCTTCTTTCTTTATTTATTTCCTTCATATTTCCTCCCTTTCCCCCCTGCTTTCCTTATTTTCCTTATTTCCTTTTGAGTTTTTACCTCCTTTCTTTCTTCCTAAATTCCATCCTTCTCCTCTTTACTTCCGCCTTTTTTCAGTCCTCACCCCTTTCTTCCATTTTGCCACATTCATCCCTTCTCTTTTGTTTCTTCCTCCTTCTTTCCACACTCTTCCCCTTCCCAGAGGCCTGACCTCCTTATACTCAGTGAAATACAGTAGGTCCATGATGCATTGCTGCTGCACTGGGGATTGAACCGGTGGCTTTGTAGCCTAGCCTCATTGATAATCATTAGCAGGCTGTGTTGGGCTCCAGATGAACAGAAGGTGAATATAGATATGCAGATCAGCGTTAGCCTTCGTGCTGCTAATTGGAGGATGAATCATCATGATGAGTGAGTTGGTTAGATGCTCATATGTGTCTGTCAAGTCACCTCGCTGCTGCAGGAAACGCAAACGCAGGCATGTAGGAATGCACACGGACTCCCATAGTATCACTACTTGCCAGCTATCTCCATACGGGTTTCTCTTCTTGATCTCTAACCCAATGAGCTCTTTCCTCTTGTTCACCCACTCGCTTATTCCTGCAACAAGTCAATTAGCAGGAGCCAGACACCCTCTCTTATTGTCTCTTAGCTAAGGGTGTCAGAGTCACAGCTGTCTTTCCATTGTTGCTGGTTGCTGGAGCTCAGGCTGGTACACAGCTCTGAGTTGCCCAGCTCGGAGGCTCTGGGGCTGGCACAGAACAAGCTTCCCTTCTACCCCTGGGTCTCTCTGGCTGGGGGAGCTGCCTGCCACTGATAGACTCAGCTGTGTTTGTGTGTGTGTGGGTTTGTGTGTGTGTGTGTGTGTGTGTGTGTGTGTGTGTGTGTGTGTGTGTGTGTG